GCTATAAATACATCCTGGTTCCAGTCCTGCCAAGGTGTCTCCTCTTATCATCCTAATACATATGTAATTTATACCTAGTTTGATGCCTCTTTTTGGCTCCTTTTCCTGTCTGCCTGCTGAGGAACGGTCCATGTGACCCAGAAAATAAGGCACAACATGATAGTTTATTATGACAAATTCTTTAAAGTACAAACTGTAAATAAATCATCATCAGCAGCCTTCGTTTTTCAAAATAGATAATTAATTTTTGTGTTATTTCTCAAATTAAAAAACAGATTTTTAATTCACACCCACATAGACAGGAAGACATTATCATATACGGATGATTATTTGGTGCTCTCTTTAAATGTCTGATGACAGGACTGAGGATTGATTTAACACTTTTTGTGCAGAAGGTGAAGAGACCAGATTATGCCAAACTCAACAGGAATTGTCTCTTCGATTGTTCAACAGTTGGGTTTCTGAATTTAAGAAAAAGAAAAGTGTTAAAGTGTAAAACCTGTCAGGATTATGTGTTATTAGGCTGCAGATGCAGGAAGGTAGGATATTCACAAAAAGAGTTCAGTGAATGAAAAAAGACAACATTTTAAGGGAAAGAACTAAGAATGAAAAGGAAAAGTTAGTTAAGTGATGCTTACCTTTTATTAAGATTTTTAAAAGTACAGCACAGACAAATTAAACCCACAGTTACAATACGTGTACAGTTCTTTACTGAGCATACAGAGCAGTTAGAATAAAAAAGATCCATGCAAGAATTTCTGTAAGTTTAAAGCAGAATACAGAGTAGCTGAAGCCTAAAATCATCTAGATTATTGTGGAAATAAGTTTCTAACACCGCAAATTACTAGATTAGCACTAAACAAAACAGCATTTTATCTTTAGAGAAGTGCAAAGCTAGAGTTGTTTAAGGAAAGAAAACAGCAAGCATGAGGTTGAAACAGTGCGGACAATCAGTGAAGTAAACTGTTAATTAATACTGACTAAAAGCTTCAAAGTTCACGTGAAAGAAACCAAAGTATTCAATTAATACAAAGCACAATCAACAGTGCAAGCATGGCAGTAAACCCTGATCATTTACATTTAATTTTTTTGGGGGAAAAGAACATTTGTTTGAGGTTTCCACACCATGATAATGACTAAAACGGCAAACAAACACAATTATGCAAAAAAAAAAAAAGTGCACCATTTTAGGATTTTATCAGTCAGTGAAAACTAAATGTGCAACTAGAGTTGATATTATCAAGTTGCTGCTTTAGATACAATAAAAAATATGTTTTGTAAGTCCAAATCCTTCCAGATTTTTTATTCTACATTTTAAATGGGGAGACTGTCGACCACAATTTGCAGATCTGAAGGTTCACAATCAAAAAAATCCACTTGTTTTTAATAGGCACAGCTAATTAAACTAGTTAAAAAAACAACCAAAGCGAGTGGAAACATCTTTGGTTATTTGATTTTGACACCCGATAATGAAAGTACCAGGAATTCAATATTTCATTTAGAATTTCTGAAAGGTTTTTGGAATTTTTAGCATTTAAATAGCTTTATTTTGAGAAAACCTTTTTTTTTTTTTTTTTTTTTTTAATACAGAAGAGTTGAGCGAAACATGGATCCCTTTTTAGTTAGTTACTGCAGGTAATATACAGACAGCTTATTACTTGAATTAATCATACTGTCAGGGTTCTTTTCCTTTGATAAAAACAAAGTAAAAACTGAACCTTTTTAAAGTTTTGTGTGAAATTTTATAACATTTATATCCATAACCCTGTAATTCACTCAATGTAAATTCTGATTTAATAAATAGTAATCAACTTTAATATATTTTCAGTCTTCTTAACATTAGTAAATATATTTTAAAGCTGCACGCCTACTGGTAAACTAGTGAGATCAACAATCAAAGGTTTGTGGATTAATCTTGGAACGACTGGGAGCTGTGCAGCTTATGTGTCGTTTGACGGATCTTCGTTAGCTCTAACCCAGAGAGCAACATAATTAGGCACGCCTGGTGCATTCAAATAAATATGCAGCGAAATGAATGTAAATTATTGCTTTGGCTGATAACAACAGTAAACACAGTGTCACATTCAGGAAATGAAATCGATTTAAACAATCATGGATGTTTGCAGGTGAAAAACATTCGTAACAAAACCTTTAATAATCTTGCAAATTAGAAAAATGTGCAAACACAGTTTTTTTTTTGTGTATCGATGGAGAAAAAAGCGGTTGAGATGCTTAGTTCAAGAAAATGAGCCTCAAACTTTCATACGGAAATAATAAAACACCACTTAGCTCTTTTTTTTAGTAGATATCAAGCTACAAACTAACTGCTGCTGAGTGTTTTTGGCAAGAATATTCCGGTGTTCAAGTGTACACAGAACAATCTATGGCAGTTTTATTAATACAGACAAATATCAGATGTGAAGCAGCTTGTTAAATCATTATAACTACTAGTAATCTAAATACTTCATAAATATCTATATTGTCTGAATACAAAAACTCTAACTGTCAACATGTTCCTAACAGGTGAGCAGTAGGTTAATCATCTTAAAGATGGTTTTGGCTGAGAAATTAAATTTGGTTCAATAATAAAATCAGAAATATGTTCTTAGTGGAGGTCAAACGGCTGAGATACAATCGTCAAGATTCTTTTTAAAGCAACAACGGAGGGTAAGGATGTGATGCAGCCTCACAAACACTATGGTGGCATTCGCTGCTGGTGGTCCGAAGCTGCAGGTAGGAGGCAGTGTATGAACCGGGTTACATAGATCTAATTTGATCCGTCTGTGGCTGTAAAAACTGGCCTATGAGAATAATTCACCGACAGGATCAACACGTGGTTTCGATTTAGGGTCATATCCGTATTAACAGACACCTTCATTATGCGCTGGGTTTGCACTCCTCGTCCGCATGAAAACCGGGTTCGGGTAGAGGAATTAAGACTTTGAAAAAGTTTGTAAATACTTGCAAAGGATAAAAGCTCCGTTAACTTATTTTCTTGAGTAAATTCTTGAAAATAAGACAATCACGTCTGCTTTTCCAGCTTCTTTATTTTTTTTTTCTTTTGTTGAAATAAATCTGCATTTATTTAATCTTAAATTTAAAGTTCTTTAATGTGATTTTACACATTTATTAGATGTCTAAAATTAAAAAGTCATTGGAAGATGTATTTTAACTAGAGACCAAACCCTTCCCTAGATGAGCACACCCTCTCATTTCATTATTAATTGTGATACAGTATATTGTGATTATAACAAATTGCAGGGTAACTATTATTAATGAAATTCTATTCAGTTTGAATTTATTTGGAAAAATACTTTTTAAATCACAAAAAATAAAGCTTGTTTGATCGGATTATTTACTAAATTGGGTTTTTACCCAATGAGCAACACACCTAAATTTTAATGAGGAGATTAAATGCAGATCTAGTTTAGATGCGAGTCAAAGTCAAGTCTACATAGACCCGTTTCAACGCCATATTTATCATCTAGGATCAGACCAAGATAAACTGCATGGTCAAAAGGTGATCTAAGCTGAGATTAAGAGCAATTGTGAGGAATGTAAAAATATCCTAGAGGATAAAATGTTTTTTTTTAAATCAAACAACTTTATTTGTTTTAGATTCAGTTAATTTCATCCTTTAAGTTTGGATATCAGACATGAGTGACACAGAACACCAGAACTTAGTAAACAGTCTGACTTATTGGTAAGACTGTTGCTTGGTGCTAATGAGGTTTTTGTGCTGAATTTTACAAACACAGGTCACCATCTACGCACCAAGAATATGTGAAATAAAAATAAATAAATACATTTTAACTTATTAACCTGCTAATGTTCAAGTTTTTACCAAGATAAATTAGAAATTGTCTTTTTTTGACGTATTCTTAACAGGATTGCTGACAGGGGATGTGCATCTGTCATAATTGGCGTCGAAGCATCAGTTGGATTTAGAAAAAAAAAATTGTTTTATAATTATAAAATAATCTCTTGTCACTGTTTGCCCCAGAAATGTTCTGTCTGTACGTTAGATGAATCAGGTCTCAGAGCAGCTGTATGACGACGGTTTTTGTGGGAAATTACACATTGTGCAGAAAAACTGATATGTTTTACTTTTAAAGGAATTCTCTTTATTTGCACACAGCATGCATATCTTGAATACTTAAGAACACCAATGATTAAAATGTGTGCTGAACCATCCATTATTTTGGTAAATTTATCAAATCATTATCTGGATTCTCACTGTTTGGATCCACAAACAAAAAAGAGGTTGCACCTTGATTTTATTTCAGCAATAAGACAAAAAAGGGAGAAGCAAGTTTGTGTTAAAAAGGAAGATATCTTGAAGTATTAATTTATGCTTCCTTCATCTGATGTAATTTTAACTAAAGGTCCAGTTTTAAAAACCTTTTAGATGAAACAGCTTGTCTAAATATGCGTCTAAACCTGGACTAAGTGTAGGCTTAATATTAATTCTTGCCTAAATGAGGCCTTCTTTAATTTTTTTTTTTAAGGTTGTTTCAGTTTTCGCATTAATATTTTGTTAAAATTGATCTTTTCACAATTTACTGTTTAGGCATTCGTGATTCAGGTCAAATTCTCTTCTTGTTTTTTTCGAGTTTATATGAAAAAAACTTGGAGGGGGTTGTAACATGTTATTCTTAGAATAAATGTCAGTTAATATGGTTAATTGATCCTTAATTGCTTCTTTGAACCCAGTAAGCCTCAGCAGATGGCCGCTCACACTGAGCCTGGTTCTGCTGGAGGTTTTTTCCTGTTAAAAGGGAGTTTTTCTCTCCACTGTCGCTGGTGTGAGGGATTGCCTTCTAGTCATTGAGTCGATGCAATCAGCTGGTTTTCCTTAGATAGAAAACTTTGAATCAATTTGACTGTATGATCTGGTGAATCGTAAAGTGCCTTGAGATGACGTGTTGTGAATTGGTGCTATAGAAATAAACTGAATTGAATTGTTGTTTATGTCAGCACTGACCAAGTGAGATCATATGTTTTTTTTTGTTCCTGTGTGTTTTTCATGTGGCCTGAATCCCCCCTGTCCATCATGGTGACTGCATGGGGAAGGATCAGGTGCAGGATGGGTTAACTGTGTGTATTGTGAGCTGTTGGCAGTGAAGCAACATGACGTGAGCTAGGACGACTTGTGCTGAGGAGAGGAGGAGGATCTTCTCCTCAGGTATCTCCAGCAGTTCAGAGAAACATCTGCGTGAGTGGGATTTATTTATTTTTTTTCACCGGCCTACCGAACACCTGTTGAAGATCTTCTGGGAGGGTTTTGAGTTGGTAGATATTACAGGTTGACCAGGTGGAGGTCAGAGGCGGCGAAGTGGGGGCACAAAGCCATATCCGGGTTCTTCAGCTGCCGCAGGATCCTCCGGTGGAACTTGGTGCGGACCCGGTTGAACTCCATGATGTCGCTGGGATCCTCCTCGATCCAGAAGCGGTGGAATTCCTGCATCAGGTAACCTACAATAGGAAGCGTCAACTATCACTGCTGTTCTCAGTAGATAAACAGATCCACACATAAATGTTCATGTGCTTAAAGGAATAGTACACCCAAAACATGATTAGC